TGAGAAGTAAAGGTCGCGCCAACTGGCTCATCGACCATGCGCCTCCCAGGCGGATAGTGGACAGGCGTGCGCGCGCATGCGCGCGCTTCAAGCTGGGTACCTCGCAGCTGGTGCCAGCAGGCTGAGCAGCTCCCATGTTAAATGTATGAGAATCAGGCTGAGCAGCAGCTCGGAGAGGTCGGAGCGTTCAATGAGCAAGTTGCCTTGCCTTGAAGATGTGACAGGTCTAAAGGATTTGAAGGTGTTGCAAGCCTCCCTTCATGGGCAATGCTGGAGCCAGCGTCTGGGCTGCTAGAGGCGTATCTGCTCATTTGGTTCTTCTTGCCACCTTGCTCAAAGTTCGTGGACTGTTTTCGATCTTGAAGTTGCTTTAAGGACAAGAGTCGTTGGCAATTTGCCTGCAAGGCGCAAGTGCCACATTGGAAGACAGTGTGAGAGACCTGCAGTATCCAATCGTCAGCAAAAGTTTATCAGCTACTGTAGTTTGCTTCTGACGGACATTACTGGCACGCGCAACCAGTTCTCCAAGTAGGCATGGACCACCCACACCCACTGGAGCCATATGACGTGACTGTGAGCAACCTCATGAGAGAAACAAAGGTGGCTGAACTCAGGGAATTGTTCACTGAGATTGATGGCCCAATTGTTGACGTGCAAGTAAGTGTCTCCTTCAATTGAGGAATGCTGAGAAACTTTACAGGCTTCCTGATCTGGATGAACTGTACCTGTATGAGCTGTACCTGTATGAGCTGTCAACCTGTTGGGATCAATCTAAAGAGCTTGTAAACACTTCTGATCTGCCCCCTCCAAGCTCTGGGCGGACTGCAGCCAGTCAAAATGCCATTATGGGTTGGCAGAGACATCAAATCTTGGAAATATTTCTGTCTCATCATTCTGTAGCTGCTATGAGCTTGAATATCCTGAGTGAAAACTTCCCTTCTGACTCACCATAATGGCAAAACGCAGGTGATCAACCGTGCCAAGAATAGATCTACAGCACGGATAACTTTTGGAAATGAGCGGACACGGCGAGCTGCTGTTGCCAACATGGACAGGCTGAAGGTGCGTGGAAGAGCCATACGCGTGGAGTACTGTGAAGCCAATAACTGCTGCGAGGACTGCATACAAACGGTGAGAGAGCGCTCCTTCTGCTTTGAATTGTCTGTGCATGGTAGTACAGAATATCAATCAAGAGTTGCATCATTGTAGAGATCCCTTCTGGTCAGTCACCAGCATACGAGCTACTTCTTCTCAAACGTTTGAGCTCGTGCTATGCTACAGTAACTAATTAGAAACCCCTTCCGTGGAAATAGACTGCAACCTTACTCCGTTTGAGTCAAAGAGCATCCACTCTGTTTGTGAGTTTGTTAGCAGGGTGCATCGTCAAGCAGTAGCCAAGTTATTGGCCGGAAAAAGGGTAGCAAGTGTATGTTCTCCGTGCAGGAGAGATGGTGGACTTTGGAGTTTGATGGAGCATCCCGGGGCAACCCGGGGGAGGGAGGGGCGGGGGCATTGCTGCTCTGTCCCTGTGGAGGAGTGGTATGGAACGGTCACATCATCGCGTTGTTATTCTTGTTAAACTGATAACCACGTGGTTTGACTTGGTTTTCCTGCAATTTTAGTGTTGGCCCACAAGTCGACTTTTACACTCTGCAGCATTACGATGGGGACGTCATACACATGTTCTTGGCCTGTGTTTAGGACTCCACCACGATCTTGTGGGGATACCCCCAAGCAAAAATCACAAGCCTCAGCCCCAGACACTATTTGAGGCTTTTAAGAGGTTTGAGTATCTGAGGAGGAATCTGGTGTGCAAAGATGAATTGTTTCGTTTTTTGTACACTTACACTTCCACAATCCTTGCGCGCTTCAAACAGCCCAGTTTATAAAATCCCATTCTCGAACCCTCTTGATCTTTTGACTGTTTGCCGCACTATTTATTCCTCAAAGTACCAAAGTACCAAGCAATGAGCAACATTTAGCCCGTCGTTTGGATATGAGAGCACAGACGCTGAAATGCTGATATATTGAAGGGTTTCTTCTCCTCCTCAGCATGAACGTGTGTCAGAGTATCTAGGAGATGACGTCACCAATAATCAGGCAGAGTACCACGGGCTCATCGAGGGTCTGAAGGCGGCACAGCTACATGGGGCGACCCACCTGGAAGTACGGGGAGACTCGGAGCTCGTCATCAAGCAGGTAACCCCTTTCTTTTGAAGGCTTTCCATGATGCGTTAGTCGGGCAGTCATGAGGCTTTGAACTTCTTTTGAAACACCTTTGTTGGGCCTTGTTTCAGCAACTTTCTGAATGAACATTGCAGAGGTCCTTTTGAGTTTACTAGGTATATTTTTGCACTTTTGACGACAATCCAGAACGCCCAAGAACCAAGGCGTCGTTGTAAATCAAGGAACAGGGAGAAAGCGTGCATGTACTGATCTCAGAACATTGGCTCACAAAACGTATGAAACTCCTTGTAGCTGTTGCATTCCCTTCTAAGCTGACTGGTCGTTTGAGTGCGTTCGATGTTGTTTGCTCTTTCTGGCTGTATGCGAGAGACTGTGCTCTTATACGTAGATTGTCTTACCTTTCAGGCACCAAATGTGCATAAGCCAGTCGAGCTGTCATACTCGTACCTGCTGTTTGTCCATCAACTCCCTTCCCTTTACTTCAAGGTCCACCAGGATTTCCAAAGCTCGTAACTTAAAACCCGTCGGAAGTCGAGGGACTCATAAGTCCTCACCTGTCTTCCCGGTTTCGGTTCCAGATGACCGGTGAAAATAGAGTCCAAGCACCCCGTCTGAAACCGCTGAGTATGGAAGCACGAAAGTTGGCGGCGAGCTTCGATGGGCTGGAGTTCTATTGGATTCCCCGGGTGAGCGTCGCGAGCATGCTTGGTTGATTGCTACCTGTCCTTCTTCAATTCGAGTTACCGGAAAACGGTTGACTTTTCATGCCCCCTGGTGACATGTCTATCGAGGGCGGGACGTTTTGCGATCAGGAAGCAGTTTCTTCAAGCGCCCCATTTTCACCCGAACTAATGTAATTTGCTGTAAGGCAGCTCAACTCCGATCCTTTGTCTCCGATCTTCGACGAAGTAAGAGTCCGATCGGGAGCTCTACTTCAAATCTTCCAATCAGGAGTACGACGTGAGGCTCGCATTGGCTTTTATATCGGACATTGTTGATCTCTGGTGTGCACCGCACACAGTAGAAGCTGGCAAGCAACTAGCTTGCATCCTTTGGCCGCTCTCACTCGGGTGATCCTTGCCCTAACAGGAAGAGAACACGGACGCCGATCGATTGGCCAATGAAGCCATTGACTCTACGTAGAGGTGGGCTCAAACCCTGCAGATTTGACTTGTGACTTGTGCCTATGAGTTGCAAGACTCCAAATGGCCTGCTTGAAATGCTTAGCAAAGGATTCGTGACGACTGCTCTGCTTGGAGTTAGCCGCTGCGCCTTCGCAATCTGTTAGTCTCGTGGTGACAAGAGCCTTGTTTTCGGTGCTCGAGAACTAGGTTGTCGAGGTTATGCTTCTTACGACTGCAGCTCCTTGTACCACTGAATCCAGGAAGCCAGGATGGCGTCTCAACCAGAGTCTTTCGACTTACTGAGTGTCATCCGCTGCGTGCGCAGATGCCCATGCTTGCGAAGCTGAGCTGGTGTCACAGAGGGTTGGTTCCCGCCGAACACATCTTCTGCAAGGCGTTATAGAGATCCAGTCGGATGCTTTTGAGCGAAGGCTGTCCTCGTTGCGTCTGAAACACACATTGTCCGCTTTCTGACCCCAAATCATACACAGCACGATAGATTTAAGAGTCTGCCAGGTCGGTGCCCGCGAGTTGTTTGTATATCATGCATGCCTTGGATTATAATCAAAGTGAGTACAGAACACGAACTGAAGACTTCTGGAGATATAATCTTGGATTCCTGAAACCCTTAGTAAAGTATGAAAACACATGGATGTCAGCAAAACGGGATTGGGGCAAAAGAGCAAATAATGAGTAGATCAAAGACTTGCCTATATGCGGCGATTTGCTCATTGGTGTTTGGAGTTCCTTCATGAGAGCTATAAAAATAATCTGAGAAATGTCCTGGCCGATCGCCCCCGTTCAACGGTTCCCAATATTGTCCGGCCAAGTTTTATACTCTGCATGATTGCTGACAATCGCCAGAAGGGTTGCATGCCACAGTAATGCCTGGCTATTTACGTGTCCTTGAATGACATGGATGCATGGTCCGAGCACGACGGTACGCCTACAATACTCTGTTCGGCCTAGGACCCGGCGAGTACGCATCAATGTATAGGGCCCAATTCCCAAGATAGCTTTCAATGATCTAGCTAGCTGTACATGCATGCAAAATCACCGCTTAAAAGATGAGGGATGCTCCAGAAGGCGCAAGCACCCATGCCAGCCATGGGCAAATTTTGCGCGCCCCATTAATTCGCGCGCATGCCTGGCACGCGTAGGCTACACCGCGGCCGCGCGGGCGGAAGTTCAAGTTTTGTACGGCCCTTCCTAAACCCTCAGACCCTGCCGGCCGCGGTGAAGCCTCTTCAGGGCCGCACCTGCAGCTGACCTCGATCGATCCGACGGGATATTATGCTGGTACATACTTGATAAGGAATGTCATTCTGCACTATTGTAGCCCCAAAGTCGCCATAGCTTTCCACTCCCTGCCATGAACGGCGACGCCGTTCCGTGGCGCGCCAGTTTACTTATCTGAACGTCTATTGAGGTTCTGAGGGTAGCGTCTATTGAGCACTCAGACGTTGGTGCAGATCAGCCGCAACAAGCTAGTTTGTAGGATCGCGGCCGGGCAGAGAGGAAGGATCTTTATGATTGAATAATTGCTTTAACTTACGTCATTATTTGTATACTTGGAGTCCGAGTCAATCAAAGGTCCGTTCACTTACTGAAACGAAGCGCTTGCAGGACGAGAGGCCCTGTGTGAATTGACCTGAACACCTCAAGCAGATTACATCCACCAATTGCACGATACCTGGAGGATCATGGCGGAGCCAGCGGTAAGATTGTACTTCCACGTTTGCGCTCGGACAAACCATGCACCAGTCACTGAGTATGATGTAAGGGCTGGACGTCGCATCTTCGGGTCCGAGCCTTCCCACAACTGTCAGGAAATGAGCTTCATTTTGGAGAGGTGTTTGTATCGCTTGCAACCTTTGGGCCGAGAGCATAGAACGCTTGTGGTTGACAGCGAGCTTGTATAAGGTTCTGAATAGTGCGTAGATGCTCAGTGGGCATGCACTGTGGAGCCCCTTCTCACTGTGGCACGGTTGAATTCACCACCTACATCTCTAGAGTTGAAGTGCCTCTTCTTTGGGTTCCTCAGAGCGGGAGCAATGCAGGAATACCTGCTTGTTCTTTAGGGTTCTTTGCACTCAAGGAAAGCTTTCCAGATGAGCTTGTGGGCACTTGAAGGCTGTGTTCAACATTTGCACTCTAGGTCGCAGCACTGGCAGCCCCGGCCCTTCGTTTTTGCACCCATTAACCCTCCCTTATCTGCTTATAGTCAAGAAGAATGTATGAGGGGGAGACTTCTGCAGCTGGAGGCGGTGGCGGTGACCCCCCCAAGCCCGAGGAGCAACTGTCCCCTGAGGACGAGATCAAGGCTTGGCTCCGCTACCTCCTGGCACAGAATTTCGGAAAGATGCCGCTGGACGACATCGGAATGGCCGTCTACGAGGGGGGGGTCGCGGAGGGGTACCGCCAGTACCTGGAGAAGGTCAAGAACAACAGGCTCGTCGTGAAGCCCCGGACATGGGCCAGCGATCCCAAGAGCCAGGTGAGCTAGTGCGTGCAACCTTGGCCATTTTGGCTAGAGGGGAGCCGAGCGTCAAGTCTGTGACACTCTGTACGTCGCATCTGCCTAAATGTTTAAAGAAAGAAGAAATCATTTAGTGTATCTGGCAGAGATGTCCCCTCTAGTGTCTCCGAATGTGCCCAGGAAGCTCCTGCTTCGCCCTCGGCCTGTCAAGTCCATCGAACCCTGCTTGCCGCGGCTTGAGATGCCCGGTTGCGCTAACTTTTTACGTGGTCGATTGCATCCACCTTTTGTCAGGCTTGTCTTCTTGTTGCTCCTGTCGAGGTCACTAGACTCCGTGCCTCACCTTCTCAGCGAAGAGGCATCGGCCTCCTCTTTCTTCTGGAGTGCTAGCTGTTTGGGTAAGAGACGTGCACGTCTCGAATCGGTGCTGGCACTCCCCTGCAGGCTTACAAGGACCGCGAAGCCGCTTTCCAAAACAACATGCTCCTCAAGCTGCGCAACACGCCCATCCAGCCCTACAAGGTGATTTTGCGTGCTTTGTCGCTCTGTGCAGCCCCCTGGTGGGGGTTACAGTCTCATGCCAGTATTAAGCAGGCCAAGAATGAACATTGCAAGGTTTTAGCTCGAATCCAAAACGTTCGATCGAAAACCACTTATCAACGCACGGCTCAGAAGGTGCGCTTTTGGGGTTTTGCCATGGCTGCCCCTCTAGTTGCAAGGAGGAGGATGAATGGCGGCGTCAGTCTCTTTCTTCATCTCCTATGAAACTTCATTAAAGTGAATGTATAAAGCTCCAAAGACGTCTTTCAGTCCTAGAGACGTCCTTGGAGATGCAAAGAGGAGATTAGAAGGACGCCATTGCGAAGAAATCAACAAACTATGTGACCTAGTTGCTGGATTACGCTTCGGATATTAGGTGCAAGATCCGAGGACTGGTTACCAATCGGCAGGACAGTGAGCGGCCAGCATCCTTCTTTGCTGGTGTTGGTAAGGGGCTAGCGAGGCACTCGTCCTCTTGCCTCTTGCGCGTCCCCTTGACCAGCCCAGCGGCGCCTCATGCTTTCAAGTTCCAGCTGCGTTCGCTCGCGATCAGCAGGGGCTGGAAAACTCGCTTGCGCCACTTGCGCAGCTTGCAAGCAGCAAAGTCCCGTGTGAAGCCGCCTGTGCAGCCCCTGATTGTTTCAAGCGTAACTGTGCAGGGATATGGAGCCAGCCCCTTCGAGGACATCCTGCCAGGGGAGATGCCTCCAATGGGCATTGGTCCGCCAGTGAGTTCGGAGGTAGCTAGAGAGTCATCGGTTGAGCGCGTAGGCATGGGCGTATGATCGACTGAGACGTGTGAATTCCTTGCTGGTCGATCGAGGCCGAATGTACGTATGAAACATTTCAGTATGACCGTCAGATGTATATAGCCAGGCGCGGCCCCGTGGGGAGTTTTAGGTGTGAGTCTCAGAACATCTAGTCGTTATTTCTGAGCCAACATGACGATTTCATTGAATGCGGGGCCGCGCGCAGTGGTACCTCTCACATTCTCTTATTGACACGCAGAAAGTAGCGTTAGAGCACATGAACTGCACTTGCAGTTGTCGAGATTGGTATACTAAGGTCGCATACTAATCGTAACACAAATGTCGTCGGACTAACGGTTGCGTCGGCGACAGATCGGATAGACATGCAATCAATTACGCATATCAAAGACACGATCGACATCAGTGCGCTACACAGTCGTACACGATTGCGTTAATTAGTGATTGTCTGTCGTAAATGATCGCGCTACCGACCGCCATCTTTCAGCACGATCTGCAACATATGCACCATTCATTCTCATTTTGGCACTATCGATCATATTGACTTTCATCCACCTTAAAGGAGTAGCATGCAGATTAAGAACGACGCAACTGAGATAAACAGAATTTATGTTTTGCATCGTTGCAGCCCTCCAAATACTGTGGTGCACATGCGACTTTAGTAACGAGTCTGCCATGCGAGCCCATACTCTTAGGCAAAGCTTGCTAGGCCAGATCGTCGGAAGTCATGGTCGGAGCACAAAGTCGCTTGCACGTGGACGCACCTGCCCACAGGTCACGCTGGCGAGATTAGAATCGAATTGGATATTATCAGCATTCCATCCAACAATAGCGACGGCCACCCGCCTTCTGAAAGGAAGGCCGTCAACCAAGCTGAGTCAAGCTTTCAACGTGTTACCTCCTGTCGAACTAGACGTCAGCAAGATTCACTAGACTTCCATGCTTGAAAGGATTCGCATCTCGCTGTTGTCTTGATGGGTTGCGAACGTAAGCCTACGCGGGAAACATTCCGGTCATCCGCATGTGTTCCAGCACCGTTTCCAGGCCAAACTTAACAACCGCCGCATGGCCCGCCCTAAAGCCTGCGCCGTACACTGCCGTCGGATTCATCGCTATCTCGTTAGCAAAGAACTCTGCCAACCGCTCCGTCACCTCCTCTTCCGTCTTCTCCCTTCCTCCGTCGCTTATCCGAAACTGGAAATCAGGCACTCCCGCTAGAGTCTGCGTCGGTCTTTCCATGTTTGGGCTGTGCGCTGGCAACTGGGTCTGCAACCACATGTGGGCCAACACTTGGCAGATGCCCTCTTCGATCACGGGTTCGAGCGCCGGAAACGATCCTGCAGCAGAAGTCGAGCATGTTGAAGAGGAGTGAAGTCGGAGAAACATAATCTGGAGAAAAAGTTACGACGAGGGCGGAACTTCGCCGCTGAATCAGAGGAGCTAACCAACTGTCGAGCCAAAGGCAGGCATTTCATAACATGGTGCGTCAAAGTGGCTTCGTGAGTTGCCGGGCATCTTTAACCCAAAAGCCGCACGATTAACTCAAGGACTCTTCACTGTCACACCTTCAACAATCCTGAAAAGGTGGGACAATGGAGAACCTGACAGATTCAATGACACTGCTTTCGGTGTGCGCAGCAGTAAACCGGATCTCGAACAAAACTAAATTCGAGCTGAAGCCACGCGTGCATCAGCTCGTGCGCTAAGATCGCCCCCCGCGAGCGCACGTGGTAACGCAAACAGAACCCAAAAAATCCTAACCAAAAAACATGTGTGTCGAAACCTGAATCTAGCACATGGCGTTCCTAAGTGAGAATGAAGGAAATTCACACACAGGATGCATCTATGAGTAAGAAACCGAGTGGTTGTATGGGAGTAAGCAGGTCCGGAAAAAGTCAAGCCCAATGAGTACGGTCGTCGTCCCATAGACCCGGGGAATTCCTTAGCATTAACCTGACTTTCATACAGAAAACCGGAGTGACGTCACTCACCGTCAAGTCGGAGCCACGCGTGCATCAGCTCGTGCGCCAAGATCGACCCCGTCAGCAGTCGAGGCAGTCCGAACAGAATCAAAATCGCCGTCACTTCGCAGTGCCGCCGCACAACTTGCTGCTCCGTTTCGTGCGAAAGACCCTGGATGCCCTGAAAGCGTCCGGCGGGCTTGCGGACGACGGACCGGATGACCTGCTCTTCGGACACGCAGAGGCCCCGCGTGGTCATGGGGTGGTGCGAGCCCTGCGGAGGAAGAGGAGGGGCGACGTCAAAACAGGGCCTTTCAGGTGGGCTACAAAACAGTTAGCTTCGACCTTCTCGCAGGAAACATCGTCAGCTGACAAGCATAGTGCTCAGGAAGGCAGGGAGAGAGGCCCCGTGCGGTCATGGGGTGGTGCGAGCCCTGCGGAAGAAAGGTGGGGCGACGTCAAAAACAGGGCCTTTAAGAAAAAAAAAATCAGGCCCCCTAAAAACTGGCCCCGTTGAGAAGGGTAGAGTAGAGGCCCCGCATAGGAATTGGGTGTTGTGAGCCCTGGGCAGCCAATGGCGGAAGCTCGTCAAAACAGGGCCTTTCAGGTGGGCTACAGATATCTTCAACCTGCTGCGGAAAAACGTCTTGCGGCCCGTCGTCAGCTGACAAGCGTAGTGCTCAGGAAAGCAGCGAAGAGGCCCCGCGTGTCATGGGGTGGTAGGAGCCCTGCGGGGAAACATGGAGGCCGGCGGGATAACAGGGCCTTTTCAAGGTTCGACAGAAGACTCAAGCTTCTGAAGAAGTATGTCCGTTTCTGTCAGATGACAAGCGTGAATGTTCAGTTTGGTAGAGTAACGGCCCGGCGTCGTCATGGGGTGAAGCAAACCCTGGGCAGCAAAAGGCGGAAACGGCGTCAAAACAGGGCCTTTAAGGTGGGCAAGGACGCGAGTGGCGCACAAGTCGAACGAATGGGGGCCCTGTCCAGTCATGCTGTAGTGCGAGCCCTGCAGGAAGGAAGGATGGGCGGTCAGAATAGGCCTATTGAGCGAGCTTCTGGACTGAAGCGTTGATGACCAAGGTCTAAAGACGAAAAGTACCGTTCGGTCTTAGTCTGGTGCTTGCCTCGTAGGGAACGGTTGATCAGCACTAAGGGTGCCCCTTGGGCGGACAGCACGGTGGCATTGCGAGCTAGAAGAGCGTCGGTGCTTCTGACGTCAGTGATGTGCAAAATCGGCCCCGGCGCAAAAAAGACCCGCGGAAGGGCGAGCGAGGTTGAACCCGAAATATTGCAGACCCTAATCTGTGGTCTATTGAACCGATGAGGAGCGATGATTACAAGAGAACGTTGTGACAGGGGTCAGAGAATGACCAGCTAAGCCACGCACTTGCTTAGACTACTCAATGAGATGCAAAGACCCGGAGGACGGAAATGTGAGCCGACAGAATCTTTGGACCAACTCGAACAATGATTTTTGTAGGCAAGATCCGACGCAATGCTCCAGCATGAGCTGACGTCACCCACCGGGTTGGCGCCCCCGCCCGAGTGCTCCTTCTCCTGCGCCTCGTTGAGCGCCTGCCGCTCAACTAGCAGCAACGGAATGTCCTTCTGGCGCAGCCGCATGCCCATCGTCTCGTAGAACTCAAGGACCTCGCGATACAGGGGCTGTCAAAAAAAGAGAGAAGCTGACGTCAGCATGAGTGGGGCACATCACTGCAGGCTTTGCAGTAGACAGTATGACCTTCTCGCGCAGCCGCATGCCCATCGTCTCGTAGAACTCGAGGACCTCCCGCTACAGGGGCTGTCAATGAGGGCAAAGACAGGATGACGTCAGCGCAAGCGAAGATGCTATGACGTCAGCATGCATAACACTCTGGAGAATAAAAGGTCCTTCTGGCGCAGCCGCATCTCCATCGTTTCGAAGCACTTGAGAACCTAAGTCGCGATACAGGCGCTGTTGGAAGAAACAGGTGATGTCAGCCAGACGGAGGGTGATGTCAGCAGAACCAAACGCTATTTCAAGCAGATTGCCTGGGAACCGATGGAGCCGCATGCACGTCGTCTCGGGAGTCGAGGGACCTCGCTATACAGGGGCTGCCCAGCGAGGAAAAGGATCAAAATGAAGAACATGTGACGTCAGCAGAGCGGCTTTCGACGTTTTCAAACGATGCAAAGCGCATATCCATCGTCTCTTGAGAGTCGAGGACCTTGCGATACAAGGGCTGCCGTCAAACAAGCGGAATGACGTCAGCCAGAGCAAAGGGCGACATCAGTGGAACAGGCGTGCCTCGAACACTTTAGCAGCACTTCAGGGCGGAGGTTGCAGGCGTCGTCGAGCGCCACGTGGTAAACACACCTGACAGTTCGCCAGGTTGACGACAACTATCAAACAGCGCTTTGACCAAAACTTACGGCCGTTGTGGAGTTACGCGTACTAGAGTTTGGAAGTCCCCGTAAGTTTGCTTTGAAACCCTGTGCTAATGCTTCTTAAAGGCCCTGAAATGATCAGACACCTTGCCTCGAGCAGCACTTGAGGCAGAGCTTGCGGTCGTCGTCGAGCGGCACGTACTGAACTTCTGAAGGCCCGTAACCTCAAAAGCCGGAAACGGAAAAGCCTATCTCTCCAGACACCAAAGATATCCGAAAACCTTCAGACACCTCACCTGGCAGTCTGCGGTGTCAACGACAATGCTGGAGCAGCACTCGAGGCAGATCTTGCGGCCGTCATCGAGCGTCACGTACTAGACATCTGAAGAACTGCAACCTCAAATGGATAACCTAGAACCTTGTCAAACAACCAAATGTCGAGGGACATTACCTGACAGTCTGCAGTGTCCACAACAACGCTCGAGCAGCACTCGAGGCAGAGCTTGCGCCCGTCATCGAGCGTCACGTACTGGACATCGACGGGCTCCATGCGATCGCACGCGCAACAGCGCGCGGTGCTATCCGTCTCGTGCACGGGGCAGTGCTTGTCACGCCAGAACGGGTGTGAGCGGAACTCGATGATGCGGTGCTCGTTCGCCGGAATCTAGCGGAACAGAGGATGTGAAATTAGCACTTTCCAGGATAGTTATACTGAAGTCTGGAGTGTTGCTTCGAGGGCATCTAAGAGGAATTTCGTTATGAGTCCGTTGGCCGGATCTGAGCGAGGTAATGGAAGTTGATATGGACATGAGAGCCTAAAAGGTCAAGTGGGTCATTATTGTACAACAATTTTGCAAAGGAAGAGCGCGCGGAATGGCAATGAGTTCGGCGAGAGAGCAAAGATGATCAAAAGGGTGTGTCTCTCTTTCAGAGAGTGCAAGCGGTATGTGCTGCGGGCCTCGTTGATGACGATGTGCGCAGGTAATCGTACTCTGACGTCACATGAAAGCCGGCACGACTTGTGAGCGGCAAGCAAGTGCGGCCGGCCCGACAGTCGTCCCTTCCGTTCTGTTTCGTCTCTACAAACTTTCGGACTTCGCTGCTCTGCGTTTGATGCAGGAGATTGTCTTCTGACGTCACGAAAACATCCAGCACTACTCCTGAGCAGCAAGCTTTGCGGCCCAGCAGTCGCCCCTTCCGTTCTTTCTCCTCTCTACAAACTCTCGGCGCTTTACATTCGAGCTCCTTATGGGGCTAGTAAACTCGGTGGGGCGTATATTTTTCGAGCTTGTTAGGAAGCTAGGCAAGCGCTCTCTCTGGCGTGTATTCACTCACCGGCATTCGGCAGACGGAGCACCGGGGATGAATGTGCTTCAGGTAGCACGCCTCGTGGTAAGTGTCGCCGTTATGTACCTTGGTTCCCCCCGAAATCTTTCCGCTGCACGACTTGCACACCAAACATGCCTCGTGCCACGTCTGGTCCGCGGTCTTGAGGTACCGCCCAGTAATGGGCTGCTTGCACCGTGTGCAGATTCTAGAGAGATAAAAATTTGGGATGAGTCGCAAAGATGACAATGCTCAAGGTTGAGAGCTTTTTAAAGAGTCTCACTCGAGAAGTCTTGCATGGTCTTGAGGTACCGCCCAGTAATTGGCTCCTTGCACCGTATGCAGATTCTGGATGAATAGAAAAATTGCGCTAAGTCGCAAAAGTGAGCATGCTTGTGTAAAAGTAAAATGCTTACGGTAGGAACTGTTGTTACAAAAAACTCTAAGTCTGAAAAACCACTTGAAGTGTCTGTCACGCTCTTGAGATACCGCCCGGTAGTCGACTGCGTGCACCGCATACAGACCCTGCGAACAGGGTTCGGAATGATGTTCCAACAGATCTGTGATAACAGGCAATCTTGACGCAACGTCCCGTCTTTGGCTGCTTGCATTGTCGTTCTTCAGGGGACGAGAGAAACCGCAAGGGAGCGAGATGCCCTACAGCAGAACCTGTCTGACAATGTGCGCAGCTGAGGTTTCGTTGTCCTCGTTTTTAATCTCGCTTGGAACGCAACAAACGTCCCATGCGGTATAATCGTGCTCTGTCAGATTCTTCTACCTCTGCATCAAGAATGTGACCATTTCGTATCTCAAAACACGCCATCTGCAAAGCTCGCCCGCGACAAATGTGGTCGTCTGTTGACTTGCAAGTACATATTGAGGAATGCAGCATTGATCTCTTCAATCAATGTTTAAGAAACTGCTTCTGACAGAGAAGTGCGGTTCTAAAGCAGCGCCGCATTAGTGGCAGCTTGCACCGCGTGCAGTGGGACAGAGAATTGCCTCCAAAACGCCCCCCTGATTTCGAAGATTCGCAACCTCAGCTCCGGAGGTCTGGGCGTAAGGAAAAGTAGACCTTGCCAGTGGGGTCACATTGGCCACAAATTTTCAACGTCAATGCCTGTGAAAGCAAAAAAAAAGGGGGGCAAATCCAAGGGACCAGGCAGCGATAAACTCAGGTATAATAACGTGCAATACAACCGAACGAAGACCGCTCACAGGAATTAGAGGCAAAGACTTTGACGTTACCTTGTAAGAAACAAAAGGAAGGAGAATCAAGAAGATGCACAAGGGTGCTCACTCTTGAGCGGTGGCAGGCCCCAGATTCGACAGTCGTTGCCCCAACGACCTCAACGGCGCCGGAATCTGCGGAAGGCTCCCCAGCGACCCCCCCAAAGGCAGCCTGAACCCGCCACGTGGCGCCCCGCCGTTGGCCGCCCCGCTCGGTGCGCCCGGTGGCGTTCCACCATTGGCTAGCCGGTCCTCGAGGGCGAGCTGCTCCTGGAGGTTTCGAGCGATCTCTTCGTCGGAGGCGGGGGGCGGGATGGGAGACGGGTGCGCGACGACTTCGACGGAGCGCGCATCTTCCTCTTGGAGCCGGAGGGCGAGCAGGCGGTCGCGCTCCTCTTCGGATTTCCTTGGACCTGGACGGAGTGACAAACAGTTTGAATGGTTCGAAATATATTGGATTGGAGTGTAATATATTTCATTGTTTTGAAATCCTTGACCGGAGTGTAATCATATGGTCGAAAGCGCTGGGCTGTTCAGGAATAGAAAGCGTTCTTGATGCACTCAGCAAGTGGTTCTTTGTGTTTGGAAGGTCCGGACTGGCTAAGCACCTGGACAATTAGGCAGTTGTGCTGCTTTTTGGACCTCGTCAGACCTGCATACAGTTTGGGGGATGAAGTTTCTGTGACCAATCAGGACACTGGAGCTCAAGATAATCCAAGAACCCAAGTATCTGCTTGGAATGATAATTCCGAGATGGACTGAAGTCAGATCAAAAGGTTCACCGGAACATCATTACGCTCTTCTTTGGATTCTGAGAACACTTCAAAATATTCAGAGCAGGGAGAATGCCTGAAACGGTCTAGGCAGGTGGCGCACAATCGATTGGGTGGCTCTGAAAGTGGAAACACTTTGGACTGTAAGGACAAGTTGTACCATTTTGACAAGGAGGTAAATGCTCTTGTCTCGGGCTTTCCTGACTTTCTCTGACCATACCAAAAGAAACGCGCGCATCAATGTAGATAGTCAAGTGACTGGGTTGCTTCTCAGTGGAAGGCTTCACCGAGAGACACTGTGATTTGTCTATGTCCTTCTCAGCCTGCTGCCAGTTCTGGTGACCAACTGCTTTGACTAACTGCAGAGGCCCCAGCCCAGAACCAATGACATTCAAAGAAGCAGAAGGGAGCAGAAACTCTCACCCTTACGGTTTTCCTCTGCGGCCAGCCTTAAAGCCAGCTCCCTATCTTGCTCATCCTGACTGCGCGATGCTCCCCCCCCATTTGCAACCTCTCCATTCACAGCAGTCCCAGCTAAACCCCCATGTACTCCCTGCCGCCTCTGACGAGACGCTCCTCCGCTGCTAAACCCCGAGTCACCATTCTGCAAACCTGGTCCTAGGTTTCCAAGAGCACCATTCGTGCTGGAAGAAGGTTTTGGGGACGACTTGGGACCGCTGTCCAAGATGCTGCCAAACCCTGGAATGAAAGCCAGCCCTCCTGGACCTCCTATAGAGCTGCTGGCGTTAGGAGCTGTGCTAGGGGGGGTGCGATTGCTGCTGGGATTCGGGGAGGGAAGTCCTCCAACATTGCCCCATGTCGGTGGAGAACTAGAAGCGGGGGATGGTCGGGGAGGAGTCCCTTGGTCTGCCAAACTGGCCGCCAAAGCGAGCTCCAATTGGCGGGCTTCTTCTCGAGCCAGAGCTTCGTCCATTCTTTTGAGGGCTGTGAGGGAGGAGGAAACCAGCTTCAGTGAAACTCAGGAAGATACTCTCTTAGGGTTTTCCCTCCCTCTAATACAATCCTTGATTGTGACCCTCCTTCAAAATCAAGGTCCCAATCTGATTTTATTCAGCTGAGACAGCTGCCAAACTTCCAATTGACAGCTAAAGGCGTTGTATCGAGGCTCCGCAATCGTGTGCGATTGAGGGCAATTGTCAAGAGGGGACTGCCCGGAATTTGGAGGGTCAGTTTTGATTGCACACTTTGTGGTTTTAGAGAGTTGCACAGACTACATCTGAGACTTGCATTCACCTGACATGATTTGTGGAGCTTGTTTCGAGGGTTGGCGCTTGAAAGGGCAATGCTTCGGAACGACGGAAGAGCAAAATTAGGGTTTGATCTCAGTCTAATAAACCTTCGCAATGATCAGCACGAGAAGCTTACCTCGGACAAGAGTCTGAGGTTCCACCACTTGCGCTGATCTTCAAGCCGTACACAAGCCGTTCACAATGACAGTTGAGCAGCAGACTTTGCTCCCCAGCTGATGCAATTTCAGTGACAGCAACGAGCAATTGTTCAGTTTATCCTAAGTGCGGGGAAAATATGCCTTCCTGAAAGTTTCCCAATTCTGAAGCTGATGCTTTCTGGCCCACTCAAAGAACCATCTCCCCAAGGATTTTTCAGCTAGAAGAAAAACAAGACTTGGATGACAAGTGGCAGAAATTGATTCAGATTCTAGACTTTGAGTAGAGTAGCAAACAAATCACCTCTGCTAACTTGAAATTTGTAGTTGGGGGGTCCGTTTTGCTGCCCGTTTTACCCCCCTTCCTTAGCTGATACACTAATCTACTCGACATGGGGGGATCAGTTCGCGTCCAGCCGAACCCCCCAGGCATGTTATTTGTTAAGGTTTGATCACAAGCTTCGCGAGCTTGATGGGAGCCTCTTTTACCCAGTGCTCCTAAGGCTGCATGCAGAATCTTAGAAGTCTGTGCTTTTGACTTCGTGTGATTGCGGAAGCTCTAATGCCAATGGCGCCTAGTAAAGTCGCCCCCAGCAACGGCGCCCCTGACGTCGATGAGGACACCACCGCCGCCCAGGCTCCTCACAGGCGGCCACCTGTCTCTCCTCTTGGAACCCCTCCCGACATCCCAATCGAATCCACAATCGATCCATTCACAGCTCAAACTGTCCACCCAGAAGGGCTCTATGAGATTCTCAAGACCATTGTGATGCTCCCCATTGTCCTGATCCGCGTTGTCTTCATTCTGCTTTCTCTGCTGCTGGGTTACAGTTGGGCGTTGCTCGTATTAACCGGGGTTAAGGACACCAAACAACCGTACCCAAAGTGGCGGGGAAAGTTGCTCTATGGAACCAGGCTGTGCGCCAGGGGGGTTTTGTTTGGCCTCGGCTATCACTGGATTCCAACGAAGGGGGAGCTGGCTCCACGCGAGGTTGCGCCGATTGTGGTTGGAAACCACATGAGTTTCACGGAACCGGTCTTCTTCTTCTTCCGCCTGCTGCCGGCGATCGTGAGCGCGAAACAGCACGAGAGCATGCCAATCATCGGCACCATAATCAAAGCCATGCAGGTGGGGCGAGAATCGTGCTAACACCTTCTTCCTCAGGTCTTTGTTGCCCTATTTACGGGGGCATCAACATTGCGCCAGCTCATCCTCTATTGTCCAACTGTATTGTATGTTTGCAAGAAGTTCTTAGTGGAACGTCCACGGTTGCTGCAAAGTAATGCTCTTACTAGTTTGTAACGCTGTGTTTTTTCTCGTTTTCTTTTGAACAGTCACCGTGAGTGTTTCTGTTTTCCAGACTCTTGTATGGGGCTCTGTGGCTGAAAAGTTCAGGTTTTGCAATTTTGTCTTGATTAAGTGCTATCCCGTCTCTGGTGACTTTTAAGTCAACAAGATTGTTGCAGACAAGCTTGCTGTTACAATACAAGAGTTCTAGGAGGCAGGTTTGCAGTTGAGAACGAAAGCATGTTAAGAATTTGGCTGGGCACGTTGGTGCTTTTGGTTGTTCCTTTGCGCTTTCCTAGAATTCTTTTAAGAGTTCGAATATTTTAAGAAACTGATTCTGGGGCGATAGGAGCGCTTAACTTTGAACAAGCTTTCGTTTGAACTCTGCTTCCTTTCTTAACGAAGTGATCAAAAGAAGTTGGTGAGATACCTTACGCCATCCCCCTATTGGAGCCAGATTTTGGGACAAGAATCTAGAACAGTCACAGTTGGCTTCATTGCACTACTTATGGGGACTGGTCACTATGGATCGCTGAAAGAGAGTTTCAGTAACTTTCTCCTTACAACCTAATAGCCCACCTCTAGTTCAGCTCTTATTGACTTGAATATTTGAGAGCCAAGCACATCCCTGAAGTGTCAAGGGCGCCGTGTGTGTTTTGGGGACCATGTATAGATTCTATTACCTCTTTTTGCAGACGATCTCGGTGGACCGGAGCTCCTCCGAGTCACGATACGCTGCAGCGGGCGCTGTGAAGCGCAAGGCGATGGACAACATCTGGCCACGCGTACTGCTTTTTCCTGAGGGTGAGCAGGAAACTCATGCATCATGCACCTTCTCTTCATACATGAAGACTTCCTCCTTTTCAAACTGATTGTTTAGGCTGGGCCAGTGATGTCAACATCTACAAAAGCAGTTGCCTGTCAATCTTTGCCACGACGACCACATGAAGAACATCACCAGACACAAAAATTGCCTGTCTCATGATGTTGCCTGGACCAATACTATTTTGCTGCCTTCAAGTCCTAGACCGGAGAGCCCTTCTTTGGACTCGCAGGAAAGGGTTGCTCACACAACCTGAGAAGTCACCTGAAGATTCAATTCTCATTTCCGAGATTGCGGAGTCCTAGGGTGCATCTTTGGTCCTACTCAGCTTCGGCCAGTGACTGATTCCACAATTCGTTGTTGACACGTGTCGCACAACCATGACCTGGGAAGCATGCGACGATCCAGAAAGTTGCGCGGTATCTGTGGTGAAAGTCGTGGGCTGATATAAACCAAACGGTTACTAATCTGGCTGCGCCCATGGGGCGATCGGGGAGATCTTCATCCAAAGCGTTCCGGCCACGTATCCCCCTTTAGAGTGTGGCACGAGCAAGTCGTGTTCCGATCTTCGTTGACTGACAAATACCGTCTCCTGAAGAGGGAAACGATCATCGATCTTGTAATTGGAAATTTTATTTTTTGCACGAACAATTCCGCTGTATCACTCTCACTGTAAAAGGGAGTGCATCACTTTCACCAACCTTCGCGGATTCCTGGGCAAGTAGGTTGAAGTAATTTCTTCTTGTCTTCTGTTTAGCTCCGCTGATGAAACATGTCTTTTCTTAAAGGCCAGTTCGATGATAAGGTGACTCTAATGTTCCAGGTTGCACCACAAACGGCAAGGGCCTGGGCCGCTTTCAATGCGGGGGCTTCCGGCCGCCCCTCTGTTTGCAGCTTAATGAACTGTAGACCGCGCAATGCAGCAACAGACGCAACGTGTTCTGTAAGAGATTAAAGTAACCACCAACTTCGTGGTCAGTCGATCTTATCTAGAGGAGCTTGTTGCTGTCTTGGGTTGCACGACCAACGGCAAGGGCCTGGCTGCAATCAAGGCGGGGGGCTTCCGGCCAAGCCTCTGGAGGTATGTGTCTCTAGGAAGAAGGAGGCCGTCTCCAACGTTGCAAAGTCTTGATGCAATCCCGCTTAGAGAGTGTTGATCTTTTTCCAGGTTGCACCACAAACGGCAAGGGTCTGGCCACGTTCAAAGCGGGCGGCTTCCGGCCGCTGCTCCCGGTACAGCCCGTCGCGATCAAGTACCCGTACGTGCACTACGACGGCAGCTGGGCGGACCCGGTGGCCCCGAGCATTTTCTATCTGGCGTTCCGAATGATGTCCCAGGTTAGATTCCAAAAGCTTCTGAAACTTGAGCTTCTGAGATCATGGCCTGCTGCATTATCCTGGCGCAGCGCCGACCTCGCGCCGAGCAACATCTACCGGCCGTTTCGGATGATGTCCTAGGTCGGTTTCAAGGTCCAGGTTTTGAGGTTAGTCTTCAGGTCAATTTCAAGCTCTCCGACTCAGTTTCGAGGTAATTTAGGTCAGTTTCCCGGTCAGCTTCGAGGTTTCTTCAGTAAGAGCGGTAATTCACACAATCTGGTTTCCTTGAATTGATGCCGCAAGTTTGCTTCACTTGGGGGCTATTGCGATCTGTGCCACCATTGGTGTTAACCAATCATCACAGTCGACCTTGAAAAGCGAGAACAGTCCAATGTCAATTTGAAAAACTCTCAGAGTTGAGCATCTGAAGAGGTGCAATCATGCTGCGCTGCATTCTAACTCGCTTATCGCAAAGCTGCCAACCACTTTGAGCCATTGCAACGTGCGCTGCCGCATCATTGCTAGCCAACTGTTCCATCGATCTGAACAGCATGAGACGTCCGGAAATGCAACTTTTTTTGGAGGGTTTGATCCTGGGTTTCAGAAATGCGTCCTCTGCACAACATCCGGCGCACCCTTCGCCGACAAGAATGTCAAGTTCGTCTTCGTTTGTTTCACAAGAGGTTAAAAAGGGCGTCACAGGACCGGTCCTACGTCAAAGCGACCAAAATGCCCGGCATCAGGGCCAGCTTGGTCGCCGAGGGCACTTTTCGAGATGGAGTCTGGGCCGTCCGATGGAATTTCCCCTCAGGACTCAGATGCACGAGTGTACCTTGACATCTGACGCCCTCTTTAAGATTCATTGAGATGTTCAAAAATCATCTTATCGTCTTCGCGCAGTTCCACAACTTCATGTCCGTTGAGTACCTGCCCGTGATCTACCCAACCTCGCGGGAGAAGCGGGAAAACGACTACATGGCTTTCGCTGAACGGGTAAGAAGCGAGTGCAATATTCAAGCCGTGCAGCGGCGAATTCGTGAAGCAGTAAGGTAAAGTGCAGTCGAGAAGCGCAGTCTGTGCTCGTTTGACAAGGACATTGATCTGCATAACCCCCGCATTCGTTCGGCTCCTGTAAGCATCCGCGTGAATCACGAGCGAGTCAGCTTTCGCTCACAGGTGAAAGCGCATTACTCAGGCTTACGACGAGAGTGATTACTGGACATTTGGAAGTCTTTACAAACGGTATGATACCGACACAGCGGGGCCGGGTTCGGAGAGTGGCAATACGGCCAGCTTTTCCTGGTCGTCGTTTGTGTGAAGAAGCATCGGCGGACGACGAGTTGCAAAGCCTCTTCCTAACCGATGTTTTGCTTTCCTGTTGACGGGCTTGTGATACTTTTGTCGACCACTTCCTGGGCGTTTTGTCACGTGATCCAGAGAAGACAGGACCTGAGAAGTGAGACCGGAATGCAGATTCAGACGTATGCAACGTATGTTGGCCGACCGAGCTGACGTATGCCAACTCTCAGCTTCTGTCCAACACGATAGGGTTGGAAATATCATCGCCTTTGAAGAAAGATGAGTAGCATAGGGGCAAGCGAAAAGCATGTCGAAAAAGTTCGTTTGCAGCTAAAACAGGAGGTTGCCAGAGCACGCAGCGTGCCCCTGCGCGGAATCACCTACGCCGACTGCCATTTCTGTTTCGCCAACACTCGGTCATCGACTGAGGGATGAACCTACATCCCAAACGCTATGGGTGCGCTTCTGACCAGACAAGATTGTTTTGCGCAGGTCCGATGGGAGATCGTCCAGAAGTGCAACTTGCTCCTGACCGAGTTCACCTGCACCGACTGCAGTTCTCTTTCGCAAAGTCGTTCAACGATTGAAGAAGGGTTGAACCTACATCCCAAACGCTATGAATGCGCTTCTAACCAAACAAGAACATTACACGCAGGTTCGATGGGAGATTGCCAGAGCGTGCAACGTGCCCCTGACCGAGTTCACGTACGCCACCTGCCAGACCCTTAAAAGCAGGAAAGGAATAACCCCTATCTGATTTTAACTCTCAAACACACTAGTGCTAGTGGAGGCAGTGAATAATTGCGAACGAGAATCTTTCCTCCGCAGGTCCGATGGGAGATTGCCAAGGCGTGCAACGTGCCCCTGACGGAGTTCACGTACGCCGACTGCCAGCTAGGCATGCGCGCCAAGAACAAGCACCTTGCGCGCCGCGTCCCGTCCGTCTTCATCGAGTTTGGCAAGTTCGAGAAGCTATACGACCTCAACGTCAGAATAGCTTATGGGTGGCTGGACAAGTTTGGGGAGGCGAGCCGGGGAAAGAACGGGGTGATTACAAAGGAGGACTTCCAAGAGTACTTGGGGCTGGGGCGCAGACTGGGAGCTGAGGTGAGTGTGAAAGCGCGCGCGATTTGGTGTGAATAGGCACCTAAGTGGGCTCCGGTTGGGAGCGGAAGCGAGTGTGAAGAGCCACGCGGCTTGATGTTAACAGGCACTTGTGTGGGCCCCGGTTGACACCGGGTGGGTGTGAAGAGGCACGCAACTGGTGTAAATGGGCACCGACTTGGAGGGTGCTGATCATGGGCACGTGCCTGGACGTGATCGACTGAGCCACACGATTTGTGCAAATCGGCACTGATCTGTTGACGTGACAGGGACATCGTTTTAAACTCTTCCATGTTTCGCTTCAGGTGTTTAACACCCTCTTCGACTTGAACGGGACCGAGGGCATCAACTTTAGAGAGGTGCGTCTTCTCCGCTCCCCCTTTTATCCGTCCGTTCTCCGCCAGCTTTCTGTCTCGCACTCCATACTTCCGCCTCCCTTCCGTCCGTCCTTTCCTTGGTGCCCTTTTCTTTGACGTTCTTCTATAATCCCTCCTTCCCTGTCCTTTTCTTCCGCATCTTTCTTCCTGGCAGCGTGCTCTTCCAATGTAGCTATCAGATTGATACATTTTGCGTCTTTTATTCTGACTGTAACATGTGTATCTTCGATTCTGAATGCAACGCCCTCGGCTTATGGTGCTTTAAATGGTGTCCACTTGAAAGTACTGACTTGTATTCTAGAGAATCAAATGAAGTCAAACCTCCCTGCACGCCCTTCTACCTTCATTTTCATTAAATTGGATCAAGCGCATCTGACTAAAATCTCTACGTCAACACCGTGCTTCCGACAAATGACCCGAAAAGCTTGGGACTTAACTCTAGCGTTTTCACAGGGACTTGAATCAAGCCTCACAGAACCGAAGCGGTATTCTGACAAGAGCCCACAAGTGCCTGAGTTTCCACATTCTTATGTCCAGAACTGTTCTAAACTGACTTCCCAACTCTGGCGAGCCCAATGAGCGTCAAGTCATATTTCTCCTCCGCGACGTCATCTTACCCCACGCCCGTTCTCGTAATTTTGCAGTATGTCGCGGGCCTGTGCTTCATCACGCGACACCCTGCGTTTGAGGCGTGCGTGGACCAGGTCGTACAGCACATTTCAGGGGGCGGGGTGGGGTCCCTCTCTGAGGAGACGCTCGCTGCGGGGCTGAAGAAATCCTTTGCCGATCTTGACGACACGCAGGTGAACCATCGCTTTTTCGGACTTCCATAATAGCATTTCTGCCCAGTCTGCTTGCTTTAAGCACGCCTAATGCTCAAACCAGTTGGCAGCCTTTGATGATTTAATGGCAGGAAGTTGTTCTGATGCCAAACATGCAGGACGCTGGCGCATACTGGTTATGCTTCTCATAGCCGTACATCTCTCCGGAATGAAAGTCTGGCTGGTCCCCGTGGTCGTCTCTCGGCCGCACTCAGAAATTGTTACTTTTCACCACTTGCTAGTTGACGTCGCATTCCTTCGCTTGTCAGTTCTGTTGAAGCCTGTGTTTGTCCTTCTGGTGAAACAAGTTCGCACCTTTCTTTATCCGCAGTTGTCCCGGTTGCACAAGCGACTTCTAGCCGTGGAGGTTTCTAAAGAGGAGCGGGCTTCCAAGGAGGGCGTCACTGCCGAAATCATGAAGACCTTTTTGCAAAAGAACCCCGACTTTTTGGCGGCGTTTGTGCACCTAAAACCAGAGCTGCTAAGCAAGGCTTAGCACCGAGCCAGTACAGTTGTCGTTCTCCTTAAGAGTAGTAATACTCCAGAAAATAAACAGTTGCTCTGATTGCGACCATGTAATACCGTCTGAACCCGCAGTGACGACTTTGGGAAATATCTTTGAGCCGCATTTATATTTTGGACCTATCCGCACCTCACAACCGAGCTTGTTTTGAGAGAACTCGGCTTTCAATGCGCATGCCTAAGCTAGCCTCAGGTGCACATGCATAAGCTCAAGTGAGCAGTTTGGGCCGTGACTGTCCAATGGTCAATTAAAGTATCGTATACTTGTGGGCCGGCCTCCGATTGCATGAGGGACCATTAGTATGCCGCCGGCCATCCATGCCAGCTGCAGCTAAGCTGCATGAGCATGATGCCGCCCCAGTGCCGTTACACCATGCGGCGGCCGGCCGGGCCGGCGCGGTATAAAATGGCGGTGACTATGTTTTTATTTGTGACATCTTATATTGACAATTAACGGCTATGAAGTTCTATGTATATATGAGCCGCAAATCATTAGTGATTCATATTGCGTATCCAGGCGGCATTAAGTTGTCAAACTAGGGTGCGGCGTAATGATCGACAACGTACAATATATGCCTAGCTCTCATGCAACTTCAAGTTTAACTTGATGGTACGCCAGTTCCAACTAAATCTTTGAAACATGGTGCGTCAAGAGCCATATACCGTATGCATGATCAACCGGTTGATACAGATTCTATTGTTCTGCTTTATACGAGTTCCCACACAACGTGCTGCATGGCACATGAGTTTTGAGGTCACTTTTTCTGTGTCACCGAAGACATTGAAATCGTCACGTGACTGACTGCAATGGCCAACAAATTTACAGAACGAGCAGTCTACAACCCGGACAGTTCCGTGTCTTAGTATAGGCACCTCCAGCACAGAAAGGCACCGGCTGCAGTTTGCAGACGCCTCAAATGCCGGCAGAAGACTCGAACGTCTCCGCAACCTGCACAGCCACAAGACAGGCACAAGCTGTGGAAGACGCCGTGCACCCCTGGAAAACTGCCAGTGCTGAGATTTGAAATCAAGTGCATGGATTTCAGCCTACTGAAACCTGAGCACTGAGAAACGCGCACTCCCCCAGTTTCAAGAGTGCTCGGGGAGCCTCAAGCGGCTGCCGGTCCAGGACGGCTCTTGACAATTCTCAGCGTCAACCTCGTGGGAAAAAGATACTAAATATGTAAC